ATGCACGAGACTTCTGAGCCTGTGGGCGCGGGCTGAGGTCTCCTGCAATTGCAAGTACGGTATTTCCCCTACAGACCACCAGGGCGGCCGAGAAAACCTTTTTTCGATCTGAAATGACTCATTTAATCATCCAAAACGTTATGGAACACATTAATTAACTGACAAATGTTGCATAGTATGCCTTTAAAACAAATAATAATACCTCATTAGCCGCTTGTCATGAAGAGAGGTTCTTCACACGCTTGCATCAGGCTTTGCAATCCAACTTCATAGTGTAGATTCTATTAATTTTAACGTAGTCGTACACAAGTATGAACATTGGTTCCTGGCTAAACATAACAGCGCAGAAAATAACAAACTTATAAAATAACATTAACCCGTATTTTATCTTATAACACACACATGAATTTACTCATTTAAAGTTTTTACCTAAACAACAACATAAATTATGAATGATTAATCACACACATCAATTTCAAACAGATGGTATCGGTATCGGCCGATACTGCACAGCCAGGTATCGAGTATTGGGGCCAAAAAAATTGGATCAGCGCAACACTAATATTGATTTCTATGCCTCTTGAAGCCAATTAAGTGGAGAAAACTGTCAATTCGGTTGTTTTTGAAGCATAATCGATTAGGATTTATTATCACAATCATTTTCATAATAAAAAAAAATTCTAGTTATAATGAACCATTAGATAAATACCCCTCCTACCCTCTGCCTTATGTTCATAAGTGAGTTCTGCTTCAGCTTTGGGATATTTGTAGGTTTTATGCCACAAATTGCTCAGTTGTTTTCAGCTCCAGATAATGAAATCAATACCCCCATGTTTTCTCTCACATAGTGTTTTCTGCAGATTTATATGTTACTTTAGCGGCAAGTAGATTCTACTTTAGTCTCCTCTCCAGCTTTGTAATTCCATATTTTCTGATAATGGACTCATTATGAGTTACAGCGATCAATATATTCTGGGTGCCTTTGCGACTTTTAAAACAGCTGCTGTTCCAGGAACAAGTTATGAAGGTCGGACTTTTGTTGATCTCTCCATAAATGTTAATAAATCATGCCCATACGCCTGATTATTATACTTTTAGCAGGAAATATCGCTCTAATTTCACTCCAAAATTAAACTAATAACAGCAGCAGCTGATCATCACTAAAGTCTTACATATAGAAGAATATTTGGACGTTTAAAGGAGTTTCTAAGTTTCCAGTCTCCTCTGCTTGTCAGAAATAATAAAGAGATAATTACTCTAGAGGAATTAGTCAGGCAGAAGGATCCATACTGAAAAATGAAGAGGACATGTGCTGCTTTCGGGTTATGAACTCTCCTTTAGTGGATCGAATGCTGATTTTTTTTTTTTTCAACGTAGAACCTCCCCATGGTTATGAAGGAGAAAGCTACAGCTCTCCTCCACAGAAGCTCTTGACCTGCATGATCGACCTCCTTCCAGCTCATATCAACACATCTGACTGGCTGCAACCTTAGACTTAAACAAATAATCATCAGAAATGTTTGTCTTTACATGACAACCAAATGTAATAATTAACATTAATAATCATAATTGCTGTATTCTGACACTTCCCTGTTAACATTTTATTTAAATTATGACCCAAAAAGCTAAAACCACTGTAAATCATTACCAAACATGTTATATTTGTAATTGTAACCTGTCCTTTATGACTGAAATGAAAAATAAACAAACTAAACTTAAAGACTTTGAGGGCTACCAGCTCTGACTATGCAGCTAATACCCTTAAAGTGGTCTATTTTACTAAGCCTATGAAAACAACATTAATAAACATATATTCACCTTCAAATAAAACAGTATAGACCAAGTGTTGCCATGATAGTTTTGCTGAGTCCTTTTTGGGTCTAAAAAGAAGACATGGACATTGTTGCACACTGTTAATATCTGCCGGCAGCTTATAGAACCAAATTGGAAAGTTAAAAAATGGTGTAACTGTTTACCATTAATGGTAAATTGTAACCGTCTCTGTAACCAAGAGCCTAAAAATAGCATTGCAGTGGTGGGTATCAGATTTAGTAACAATTCAGGCATCCATTAAATTGGCAGCGAAATCAAATCAGCTTTACCTTTTGTATGCATTTTTTTACGAGATTCCAAAAAAGTAAAAAAAAAAAAAAAAAAACATTAGACTTTGTTTCCAAGTTTAAAGACGTTTCTCTTCCCATCCAGGAAGCTTTTTCAATTCAAAATGTCAGGAATAGCGTTGAGTTTGACGCTTTATAAAGTAGCCCAACAAATCCTTGTTTTGGCTTAGAAAACATGCAAATTGAAACAGACAAACGGGTCCACCCCTTTGGAATGGGGGTCGTTTGGCTTCTTTTGTTAGCCTGCAATGCCTCATACTTGTCTATGTCTCTGAAAGCGGGGTTGTTAAAGGGCATTGTTGGCCTAGGATGAGGTCTTATGTTCCCCTATAAAGGGGTTGGGGTTGCGATGATAGCAGGAAGGAATCAACTCAATTGCTGCATTGTAGTTTTTTGAAAGCTGAAATCTGAGTCCACCTGTTTAAGGTTGGTTTTTCTTTCTTAACATAAATGGCTTCCTTGACACCCCTCTCAAACCACCTATTTTCTTTGTCCAAAATGGGCGACAGTGGCGTTGGATGTAGGAGTTTGCCCTGAAATCGAAGGATTGATGGTTCAAGCCCCGACTCCGACTTTCAGTGTTTTGTGTCTTTGGGTAGGATGCTTCACCTGCATTGTCTACTGATGGTGGTCAGAAGGCCCGGTGGCGCCAGTGTACGGCAGCCCCCCTTCTGTCAGTGAGCCCCAGGGCAGCTGTGGCTATAATGTAGCTTGCCACCATCAGTTTGTGCGTGAATGGGTGAATCAATGTAGTGTAAAGTGCTTTGGTCAAGTCTCCTGACTTGAAAAAAGGCGCTATATAAGTACATGCCATTTACCATTTACCATTCTGGTCCACCTCATGTCCTTTGTTCATAAGGTGTAGATGTTCCGCGAGTCTGGACACGAGGAGTTCCCTCTTCTTTGTTGGGCTATGCATTTATGGAGAGGTTGTTTTGTTTATCCAATATAAAGATCAGAGCATTCCTCACTACATTGAACTGCAAATACCCATCCACTCATATTTGGTCTGGGGGTTTTGTCTTTAGGATGCACTAGTCTCTGTTTAACTGGTTTGTTTGGTTTGAAATGTACAAGGATTTTGTGTTTGGAGAAAATCCTCTTGACTTTTTTAGAGACTCCAGCAACATATGGGATGGTGATTTCTAATGAAAGCCTAGAAATGATTATCTTCATTGTTCTTTAAAGGACCCTTTAAAGCCAGTGGTTTATTTAAGCAGCTCTTTAATTAATCCCAGCAACAGTTAACCTGAAGGTTTTGGGACTACAAAAATTTTGGAATGTTTATAATTTTCATCTTTGTTGTCAAAAACTGCTAATTTGGCACAAGATTAATAAGTGTAATTCATTTGAATTCTGCATTTATCGTTCTGGAAATCTTCCTGTTCCCTAAAGGGAGGGACATTCCGTTCAATTCTTCAAGCTGATTGGGTACCTGCCTCCCATGTGGAGTTTTTCGGCCAATCACAGCAGCAGTAGAAGCTGAGACGTATCACATTCTTCATTTATTTTTATAGGGTTAAATAAATCACACTCTTACCAAATCCAGTTGGGAGAAAGTGTAACCTTCTTCCCATGCATAAAGGTAAAAATTACGTAATTTTTTTCAGTTTCCAAAAAATAAAAGAGGTTATTTCAGCTAAAAGCGGCGCAGCCATGTTTGTTTTGCTTTAGCCTTCCACCTTTCGTTGACATATTGACATCATACACAACGCTGCGTTTCATTGGTCTGAAAGATTTCTGTATCGACTCGAACACATCTGCCAGCTTTTGGTGTATTTTCAGGAGTTTGTGAATTTACAAACCTCAGGACAATTCATGTTGCTTGCAAGTTTAAAAAAAAACATTTTAAAATTTCATCAGAAGAAAATAAACCCCATAGAATGATGCTACTACCCCCATGTTTTACTGTGGGTATGATGTTGTTTTGTTGAAGTATTGGTTTCCTGTTTTGTTTTTTTGACTAAATGTATATTTTTCCCTGAAGCTTTAAGGATATTTTGGTTTAATCTGCCTTAGAGCAGCTTGAACTCTGTGATCTTTTTGGGTTTTATGAGTCTGAAATTTCCTGACAGAAAATGTTTCTCTCTTTGAAGTGCAGAAATCAAAAGGAAACGTACTTTACTTTCCTCTTACAGATTTGTTTGTTTTACAGTTCAATTGTGCTGGTAATCATGTATTATTACGGTCTTATTTCCCTTAAAAGTTTGAGGGCAGGATTTTCTCCTTCAAATCATGATGTTTTCCATGCTGGTGAGGGAGCGCTTAAAGGCAACAATTTTATACTTTTTGCACCCTGACCCAGTGAAAGCACAGTTATTAAAACCTGCAGTTGTAATAACAACAAATACCAAATTAATAAACAATTAAAACAAGAAATACATTTTATTATTGCTTTTAAACCACCAAGATATGATCCAAAAATCTGGCACTAATGAACCGAATGTTAAAATTTAGTTCTGAGTATTTTTGGGCTTCTAATAGAAAATATGGATTCTGAAATCAAAGTTTTTTCATCTTAAACCAAAAGAAAAAAATCTAATATCTCTCCCATCCATTTCCCCCACTGTGCAGCAGATACATCATTTTCGCTGATCCTTCATTACTGGAACAGACCTTTGTCTTTCGTCATTTTGTAATCCAGGCTTTCTTTTGAATGTTTTGTCTCCAACCCCAGCGTGAGATCGTCTGGATGGCATCATCTTGGCTATAACCCCACTCTGAAACCTTCCTAAACTGGGTTCACTAGCTCAGACAGCCTTTACTCAGGAATAAAACCCTCTGCAGCTGAATCAGACTAATGCTTGGAGTGTTTTAGAATGTTAAAGAAGGCAGCTACACTACCCTAAATATGTCATTTCCTTCTTTATTTGCCTAAATTATCCAATTGAAAAAAAAAAGTAACACATTACTGTGAAGGTTCAGAATGCCAAGGTCCCCGCCCTCGACTGCCACCCATCACACATTGCACCCGACCCCTTTGGCCCCTCCTACAGGTGGTGAGCCCTCTTTGGGCTTCGCCCGGCCGGGCTTGGGTAAAAACACGGTCACCAGGCGCTCACCAGTGTGCCCTACCTCCAGTTCTGGCTCCAGAATGTGGCCGCGGTGACCAGTGTCCGGGTGAGGGAACACTTGGTCCATTTGTCTTACTCATCATAAGAGGTCTTTAGGCTGCTCTTTGTCTGGTCGCTCACCTAGGACCTGTCTGCCTTGGGTGACCCTACTGGGGGACATAAAGCCACCAGACAGCATAGCTCCTAAGGTCATTGGGACACTCAAAACCCCTCCACAACGATAAGGTGGCAGCCCAGTGAGGGCACCCTGGTGAGGTGTTCCAGGCACGTCCAACCGGGAGGAGGCCCAGGGGGAGACTCAGGACACGCTGGAGGGACTATGTTTCTCGCCTGGGCTGGGAACGCCTTGGGATTCCCCCAGAGGTGCTGGACCAAGTGGCTGGGGAGAGGGACGTCTGGGTCTCCGCTACCCCCGCGACGCGACCCCAAATAAGCGGAAGAAGATGTATGGATGGATGGATAGATTGGATGGATGGATATTGTAAAGTGGAAGAAAAATAATGCATTAAGCTTGCTTTTTTTTTGTCCGATCCTCCAGTGCCACCAGCAGGTTCTCTTATCAGTACACAGAATTCTCCTGAGATTAATTCAATCTCAGTTTAAATCCAGCTCTCCTGTGAAGCCCTAAGAGAACATTGTTGGAGGATATTATATGAGAAATATTATAATGAGAACAGTGAAACATAGCAGATCGATCAAAGACGATGTTGGTTTAAAAAGTTGTCCTAAATTTTGAACAACTCAGAGTTGTTTTAAATCCATCATGAGATGACAGATCCACTGTAAACCTACCAAGACATGAAGGTCCACCTAAGATATAAAGCTGAGCCATGAAGGGACAAACCAGACAAGCTTCTGAGGGGCCCATGGTCTCTCTAGGGGAGCTGGAGGGATCTACAGCTAAGTATAGGTGGAGTGAGTACCCAGAAATTAGATTTCCGCGAGAGTAGCACTACTTTAACATATTTTACCTTTATTAAAAATGAAAAGTGGCCTACCAAGAAATTACTCGATTATAAAGAAGACTCCAGAAGTCCTGAATAACTAATTTCTCCTTAAAATGATGTAATCAGAAACACCTAAATATAACTGTTGTTGCGATTTCTATTGTTTTAGAAATGAAAATAAAATGAAAAAAATGAAAAATAATAGGCTAAAGTAGAGGGAGCACTTTTCTAAATCTGTTTTCAATATAAAACCTCTAAAACCAATAAAGTGTGTAATAAACTGGATGTTGGAGTAAACTGCCTCCAGTCACAATTTACACTTTTTAGAGTAGATTACTTTGAACATAGAGATTTTATGATTAGGATTAAGACAACAAAGCTTGTTTACAACATAAATAGTCATTTTTTTTAGGGCTGAAACATTAAATCAGATTAATCGTGATTAAATGATTATTGAAATAATCCCCAGGTAATGTAGTAATCGGTTAATTATTAAATGGAGTATAAAGACTGTAGAGCATGCCTTTAGCTGACAAAGCGACCCACTTAGAGCTGAAATTATACCAAGATTGTTAAAAAATATATATATATCTAAACTTTTGCATTTAAGATAAAAAAAAAAATCAAGAAGTGGAAAAAGTTTTGTTTCACCTGGTAAAAGAACCTTGGATTATTAATGGATTATCGAAAAAATAATCAACAGATTAATTGATTTGCAAAATAATCGTTAGTTGCAGCTCTAGTTATTTTAGATAAAATTAAGCTTTTTATCCACAAGCATTTTTGTTTAAATGTGCTTGTTCTTCATTCAGTGGAGTTAGTCATAGTGGGAAGAATCAGTAGCAATACCTCATAAAAGTATTATGCAGTAAAACTACTCATAAAGGTATAGTTTTGTTTAAAAGGTTACTATAGTAAAAGTAATTAAGTAAATGTAACTAGGTATTACCCGTCTCTGCAGCTTAGGTGTGGAAATCTACTATTCTAGTAGAACAACTATTAGTTATGCTTTCAATAAATCTGGAGTTGGAAGAACGACAAGAAAAGAAAATGTTATTTTTTTAAGGAAGCCGGGTGGATTTCTGCTTTTAGTTTAGAAACAATGTAGGAGATGAAGTTACACATGTGACAATAGGTGCTCTGGTGTATCTGTCTGTCATTTTTTACAGTAAGCATTTGATTCAGCGTCGACCAATCAAATAAAATCACCTTTTCTATCCGCTTTTTCTGTCGTAAAAAGCGAACAACCTCTTTTTCCACTTGTTTTGTGGAAGCAGTGTGCAAAAGCTGTTAATGAGAATGTTTTTCCTGGAATCTTTGCAGTGATATAAAATCTTTCTCTCCTAGCTGCTGACTCCCCGCTCCTCTCCCTGGTGAATGAAGCTCAGTATCTCTTGATCAACCGTGCCAGCGTGGAGCTCATTCAGGATCTAATGAGCAGCAGGTTGGAACACAACACAGTTATTCCAAACTCCCCCCTTTGCTCCCGGACGCGCTGACGTCCGCTCATTTACATCACAGAGCTCTTTTTATACGCATGCAAAAAAAAAACAAAAAAACATGTCATTTGCACACATGCTCCCCTCCCTCAGGCAGGACGGCTGTGAGGGCGATCAGCTCCTCGACGCACAGAGTGTCATCAGGCGCTTCCGTGCCAATTTAGTCATAGCTGGAGCAGAGCCCTTTGAAGAGGATAATTGGTCACACTTGATTATTGGCAACACACGATTCATGGTGAGCATGCACGGTGAGACAAACAGCCTCAGAACACCTGATGGAAGCAGGATGTCTTTCAGCGGTGAATGTGTTCTCTTTGTGATAAACCCAAAGGTTGCAGGTCGGTGTGGAAGGTGCCAGATGATTGGAATAGACCAGGACACGGGGAGCAAAACTAAAGAGCCGCTCATCAGCCTGTCAGCCCACCGGGCCGGGAAGGTGAGTCTGAAACAGTCACACTGCAAAAAATTTAATCTAAATAAGTCATTTTTTCTTAAAATAAGTTCATTTTGTCTTGAATTACAGATGTAAGTGAGACACTTTGTCAATGGAACAAGACAATTTACATTTAAAATAAGAAAAAAACAACTGCATTGTCTTATATCAAGTGCATAATATCTAATTACCTTATTTTAAGAGTAAAAATACTCACTCCATTGGCAAATCATCTTATTTATCTGCTCAAATTAAGGGTGAATACACTTAATTTAAGACATTTTTACTCATTTTTAGATAGTTTTGCAGTGCACATCTGAGCCACCGTGATGCAGCTAAACAAAATCTAGATAAGTCATTTTTTCTTAAAATAAGTGTATATGTTCTTGGATTGAGGAGGTAAAATAGACATGGTGCCAATGGAACAAGACAATTTACACTTAAAATAAGAAAACGCATTTGCATTGTCTTATTTCAAGTGCATATTATCTAATTATCTTATTTTAAGAGTAAAAATGCTCATTCCATTGGCAAACTACCTAATTTACCAACTCAAATTAAGGGTAAATACACTTAATTTAAGAAATTTTTACTTATGTCTAGATCAGGTGTCTTCAACGTTCTCCACACTGCAAAAAATCTAAATGTAGATAAGTAATTTTTTCTTAAAATAAGTGCATTTGTTCTTGAATTGAGGAGGTAAAAGA